ATGAATCACTCTCAACGTCCATTGCATGGTTCGACGTTTGTCGAGAAATCCATCACCCATCATTGGCAAAGAAAATTTCAACTCTTTTTGAAAGGGCGCAACTGACTACAGCACGGCAGATAAGCTTCTCATAGGTTTGACGAAGTAGAAAGAGTTCAAAAAAACTACAAGTGAGACTAAAATAAAAAACGGACAAAGAGATGCTGGTACAGATACTCATACTGTACTAATTACTGTAGGTCTAAACCTCAAGTTCAATTTCGAATCCCTTTTTCTGCGGGTTCGAAACTCGTTTTGAGTTTCGAGTGCCTTTTTTTGGTACTCGAAACTCAAAATGAGTTTCGAACCCCTTTTTTGGTACTCGAAACTCAAAATGAGAATACTGTGCATGCGAACAGTACAGTACCTGCCCCGCCCCTGAAGCGCCCCTGCGCATGATTCGAGGCCATTCTCATTTTGAGTTTCGAGTCCCTTTTTTCGGGGGTTCGAAACTCATTATGAGTTTCGAGTCCCTTTTTTTGGTACTCGAAACTCATTATGAGTTTCAAGCCCCCTTTTTTGGTACTCGAAACTCATTATGAGATTTGCATCCCCCTTTTCAGGTTGCCAAACGCAACATAAACACACGCTACATGTGAACATTTCAGATCCTGCTGCGCCCCCGGAAAGGCCCTGCACGTGATGCAAGGACAGAATCAACTTGTGTGTTTGGCAGCCAATTGTTCGGGGCGCTAACCTCAATATGAGCATGCCATACCGACAGCTCGATTTGCACATGGTTTTCGCACAGCGAGCAGAACCATTTTACTACTATGCGGCATGCTAGAAATAGGATTCCGCATTCATGAGCGTAGGTTCGAAATCTTTGGAACTGCTTTCCCCAAACGCGTCGCAGCGCATAGTCCATGCATTCAAAAGCGTAGGAAAGGGGATATATGATCTTGCATTCCAAATAAAGTTCACGCTATTTTTTCGTTTAAGATATCATTGCTTACTTCCACTTAATAGAAGCGACAGCATGGAGGCCTTTACATGCAAGGGCGGCGGCGTTTCGTTTCACTGGGGAAGCGAAACTCGGAGAGGGCCTGTCATTCTTCGTTTGGTGCTTGACAGTGGGATAGCCCCACAGCCTCGACAGACTCATACTGCGCCCTGTAGCAACTTGCGGGCTTTAGAACTGAGACTGGACGTGTAGCGAAAAAGGGGTTATGGAAGTGGGGACACTTTGAGTTGGCTCCACGCCTCGAGGCTTTCTTTTTCTGCCGAGAGTTCCCTTTCTTGAAGCGTATCGAAGGCCCCAGCGGGCTCACCCGCTGTGGCTATAGCCCCGCCAAGGTCAGATTTCTCACCTGGCGATCGACCCCGTGAGGGGTCGACTCTGTCCTCTCGGCCTCGACGGACGCAGATGGCGCTATTTTTCCTGTCTGCACATGTCGGTCAGACACAACTCGGAGGCTAAAAAATCAGTTGAAATGTCAGATCCACGATTTGTCTGTCTAGAAAACGAAACACAGAGCGACACATACCACACCCGTTCTTGACAACAACAAGCGGTCAAGTGTGAAAGAAACCAAAGCGCAAGAAAACAAAAGAGTGACGATTTCGAAAAAACCAACGCGCAAGAAAACAAAAGAGTGACGTCCGTGAGAATGATGGTGGGCGTTCGATATAAAAAAACTTCGGGTCCCTTTTTATATGGAACCTAAAAATCGAACTGTTCGCAGCAATACGAGACGATTGTTCCGGTTTCGCGCGCTTTTATCCGTAAGTAAACGTTAACTGTCAAGCAAAGCGAGGAACAGTAAACCTATACTCGATATCATATCGTCGAATAAACAATCACATGTCATTCAGTTTATAATGACTGTATGACATGTCTGGTAAGCCATTAAAGGCCGTACAGTAAAGGTTAACCTGGTTGCGGGTAAATGTTTACCCGGGAATGTTAAGGAGTAAACATTTACTCGCAACCATCAACTTGACACCGGGTAAATGTTAATCTGATTGCCAGTAAATGTTTACTCAGGAATTTTACCTAGTAAACATTTACTCGCAACCATCAACTCGACACCGAGTAAATGTTAATCTGCTTGCGAGTAAATGTTTACCCGGAAATGTCACCGAGTAAACATTTACTCGCAACCATCAACTCGACACCGAGTAAATGTTAATCTGATTGCGAGTAAATGTTTACTAGGTAAAATTCTTGAGTAAACATTTACTTGCAACCTTCAACTCGACACCGAGTAAATGTTAATCTGCTTGCGAGTAAATGTTTACTCAGGAATTTTACCGAGTAAACATTTACTGTAAGCAGCGTTGTAACTGTAATTTGTCCTTTGTTTTAATTTAACGTCTCTTTACTTACAGCATCGGTGTATGCCGTTTGTTTAACTTAATGTGTACCTTATCATATACCTTACATCTTTATTTACAACAGAGCTAAGACCCTAGAACCCATAGCCCTCGGGACATTGCGAGTAGGAGCACCATGGCCAGCAGTCGTCAACGGGACCATACTGTAGGGTCTACTGACTATAATTCCGTATATGAAAAATGTCACGCACTGCACAGTTGCGTCGGTTTCATTGATGGGACAACTGTATCACCAGATCCGTGCAGCGGGCCACCCCCGTCCCGCATCATGTCTGCAAGGCACACCATTGACTTGCCCTGCTTCCGTTCCTCGATGTCCATCTCAAACAGCTCCACCGCGCGCACCGCATTGCGCTCCACCCCCTCCGCTCCGTCCCTCAACGTCATCGCAAGAGAGCAAGCCGCGTTCCCGAAATTTCCTTTCGCTATTGCACGACCAGACGATTCCACAGCTCGTACCGGGTCATGATCCACTCTTTCTGCACCTTGTTTGAGCAAAACACCGAGGTTCACCATCACATTGATGTCGTCACCCTTCTCGAAAGCGCTGCGTCCTAACCTGCATCGCAACTCCCTCAACCGCCACCTATTCCGCGCCCAGACCCACTCCGCCTCCCTCTCCTCGCTAACCGCCCTTGTCCTGACGCAAGCCTCGCCATAAACACTGTCCTCCCTCCTGGTAAGCACTTCAGCCTCTTACACGCCGCTAATCTTTCGCGACTGGAACCAATACACGATGTGCACGATGCGAGAGAGTGGAGCTCCACTCTCGCGTGCATCGCGTATGAACTGGAAGACGCGGGGCGACGGGATGAGGGCTGCGAACTTCTGCAGGGCAGCGACGGCGTCGTACACGAGGTGCAGCACATCGACGACGCCGAGCAGGCGGGGGTCGTCGGGCGCGACGACGGGGAAGTGGCGGAATTCGCCCTCGCACATGACGAGCAGGGCATTGGTGCGGATCTCGGAGGGCGGCAGCGTGACAGGGTGCAGAGTCATGATGGAGGCGACCGGGAGACGGTGCAGCGCCTCGGCGCGCGCGACGCACTTGGTGACGTCGCCCGAGGTCGTAATGCTGGCCAGCTTGTTCGAGTCCACCGTGAGGATGGCGGCCGTGTTGGAGCGCGCGCGGGAGAGCGCGGTGGCCAGGGAGAAGACTGTGGCGGTCTCTGGGATCGTGAGGGGGCGGGGAGCGCGTGACGACGTCGCCGAGGGTGCAGATCGACATGATGGTGCAGTAGGGCGAAGGGGGAGAAAGGGGAGGTTGGGAAAGCGATTGGGGGCAGGAAAGGTGAGGGATTGTCTGGCGGAGGGCAAGGGATGCATGGTCCAGGGCGTAAAGAATATTGCGTTACGTTGGGGTTTATTTTAATGGGGGCTCTGCTGGGGTTGTTCATCGCACTGACGTGGTCAACGTTCTCGATGGGGCGCTCATACAGCTCCATAGCTCGCACCAGGTTACGCTCGACTCCTTTGCCACCTTGCTTGAGCAACTTACTGACGCTCACCATGGCATCATTGACTTTCTCTACTTTCTCGATAGCGCGCTCATACAACTCCAAAGATCGCTCCACTTTACGCTCTACTCCTTCGGCACCTTCTGCGAGCAAATTACCGAGGGTCACCGTGGCACTCACGTCTTCATCCTTCTCGATGGCGCGTTCCAACAGCTGCATAGCTCGCACCGCGTTACGCGCCACTCCTTCGACACCTTCTGCGATAAAATCACCGAGGTTCACCATCGCATAGAAGTTATCACCCTTCTCGATGGCGCGCTCAAACAACTACATAGCTCGCACCACGTTACGCCCTATTCGAAGTACCCCGGCCACGGTGAGAGATGAGGCGACGGGAGGGTATGAGGGGAGGGGGTGAGCAGTACTGTACCGGTCAAGGACAAATCTCTTACAAAGTACAGTAACACGTACTCCCCGTGTCAGGATTTGGCGGCAGTTTCGTTACAGCTGTCTTTCCTAATGCTCACATTTGGAGCGCACAGGTGTTCACTAACTAGTCGCTTTTCGGCAAATAATCGCACGACTATGTTGCAGAATTCTGTATTGATTTACACCTGTAATACGTATTGCAAAATTTTGGACAAATCATTGCAGAATTCGTTATGCGTAAACCCACTATTGTGACGTTATGGGCCGATTCAGTTATAGGACCAACCCCTGTTTACTGAGACAGCCCTGTCGCAGGAAGTACTGCACTACGATGGAATATGTTTATATCAATACAAGCGTCTCGGCGGTGCCGTTCCAACCGGCTTGGTTTGATATTTTAAATCAGTCTGAAACAGGAGTTATGCTAAAGAAACCCGAAAGGCCCCAAAAAAAATTGTCACGAAAGTCGCGCACAGGGCTGAACCCACATGTCTAACCAGAATTATGATCTTCAATAATAAGAGGTCTTCATGTGTTCGTGTCATACGTGGACAAGCGCAACTGCTGCAAAAGATACTGTGCTGGACCTAATTTTTGCGCTCTTTTCACAAAAGCCTTCTGTGAGAAAGTCATTGATCAGCTTCTCGTTCCATTGAGGCATCAAACCCCCTGCTGGAAATTGGGCGGTACGCAAGGAGCCGTCTTGCTCCCGCACCATGTACTATCAACATTCTCGCAATGATGCAAACACAAATGTTACGTCGTATGCTCGACGATTTTCCCTGCATGTCTCCGAGTGACGCCAGATTTCAGCGTTTCCATGGTTTCATCACGATAAGTGAGAGGGAGTTTCGCGTTTCAATCTCCTCGGATTGCACCTATTTGTCAACCGACAAGTCTCTCAAGTCTATTATCTCGCCATGCTTCCAGAAAGTCCGCGAACGTCTCAAGTTGGCTTTGAATGCCCACGAGTTTCTACTCGAACTTCGTGACATAGCTGAGCATCAAATCGATGCAACAAGAACAGACAAGCAATCTGTCGAATTTGGACTGCCGCCGGCGCAGTTTTACGAGCAGCTTCTCACAGACATATCCCACATGGGTTGGTCCTGTGTAGCTTCTATGAGCGAGACTATGCGCGCATTGGATCTAATCACACGAGATGCCGCCGGTCGAACGCACAGTCTAAATGTCTCTCTGCCCGCTGACTACCCGAAAAATCCCCCTAAATGCGTGACAAACATGCCCGTCGAGTTTGAAATCCAATGGGGGCGCGATTCTACATTGATTTCTGTGCTTCGCCAATTTGAAAAGCTTGTGGCGCAGTACCAAGACTTCTTCCGGACGATGGAGGACTTGGACAAACACGCATGGGTCCTTGAACCAGAATATCCGACTACCCGAGAGGTTTATAGACGTGTTGCGCTTGGAAAAACTTGCTCCATGCGTGTGGAGATCGACCATCGAGCGCCATTGAAGAGCTTCCCTGAAATTCGATTTCTGGGGTCGGAGGCCGCCATTGAGCCATTCAAACAACGTTTAAACCAAAATATTCAACACTGGGATATGACGGGACAATCGCTCGTGCGCCAGAATTTGGAACGAGTTTTGGAAATAACGTTGCCTCTACCAGTTGATAAGAATGCGGAAGATGGCGAAGACAGCATGCTTGAATGCGGAATATGTTATGCATATCGACTAGAGGAATCGACACCAGACGTGACGTGCGACTTGGCGGAATGCTCGAAACCATATCACAGAGGATGTCTCGTAGAATGGTTGCGGGCGTTACCTGGGACTAGGGAGAGCTTTGGGATGATTACAGGGAACTGTGTGTATTGTGAAGAAAGCATTTCCGTCGCTGTTTCAGCAGATTGACGCTTGCGAGGCACTGCAACCAAGTTCGTTTTCTGGATTGTCCACTACCCTGATCAGAGGACAGAGCACGATTCCGATGCCCTTCGCCGGAAGCAGAGCGTACGTGGTAGTCGTGAGAGCAGCGTGTGCGAGCACGGGATTCGGGGCGAAAGGGGAAAACTCGCCAGCACCAAACCTACAATTGTTGATTGACGCAAGCTGAGCACGTTTGGTGTACATATACATTGGAACGGCGACACCACCGCGCGTGTCTTCGGTATGCACTGAAGAAGCGGAAAAAACGCAGCTCACGCGGTCGTAGTTACACTTCAGTGACCATGTCGAAGCTGGCTGTGCATGATAAACTTCATTCATGGGAGCGAATGGTCATCTGGTTTCCGCGTCGCGGTGACTCCTTCGCCCTCCTGACACTGGGAACTGCTGTAGGAATCATCAATGCCCTCCACCTGTTCGCGCTTCTTTCTGTTTTTGGATACACGGCCAGCCCGTTCCAAGGCGGCATCTTCCAACTGGCAGGCGGGTCTATAGCTCACAGAGCCATCGTCTCCTATGACGCGGAGAGCAGGATTTGGCAATGTGGAGTCGATGGAACCGATGCTGGTGTAACCAACATCGTACATTTGACAATACGGAACGTCGAACCGTTTAAGGAACCTCCAAACGTCGTGGTAATCCCAGGATAGAATGGGGTTGACCCTCATAAATAACGGCCACCCCTTTGAACTTGGTTCAAAATGATTCATGTTTTCCCCGTGCGGATCTGTACTTCTAGTGCCCATGACAAAAGCACACATGCCTTCTCGTACATTGGTGAAGGATGCGATACCTTCTTTAAAGTCGTCTGCCTCATTTTCAACTTCGTCCAAGTCCAAGAGGGCCACCTGTTCTCGGACGAAGGCAGCGACGGAGGGAAACTCTTTTTGGTTGAGTAGATATAGACAATGCAGTGCGTGAGAAGGAGCGTAAGCAGCAACAACGGCGCGAGTAAGGTGCAAGACAACGGTGGCGTCCTTGCCGCCGTTGAAGGCGACGGCGAGGTTTACGGGGCCGTACTTGCGAATCGCTTGTTCCAGCACGTCAAGCGCAGTACACAATGGCTTGTCGGTTGCCGCGTGGAGCTTGAGGGCTTTGTAGAGAGCGAGTGCGTCGGTAGGTGCCTCCGTGCGAGAAGTCGGACGACTTGAGGCGAGAGCGTTGGGAGGAGGCATGCTGCGTCTGAGCGACCGAAGCCTTGGGGGAGGCGGAGCTCGGAGATGCGACAAAAAGAATCGCTCTAGATGAGAACAAATCAGACAGGGAACGTCTTTAGGCTTTGATCCACTTCGGCAGGTGCCGCAAAGCGCTCCGTGACTGTATAGAATCGCATCTCTGTTGCCAGCGGGGTTTCGGGAGGAAGCAATCAAAAAGGAGTCAAGAAGGACTGCGTTCGAAAGCTGTGCACTTTTCGTTCTCGCTGGATTGATTTCGTCACGACCATTCTCATCTCAGAGGGCCGTTCAAGCGTATTTCTCGGCTTTGTATTTATGCATCCGCCGATCCCGATCAAGGAAAACAGTGCACCCATTACATAAGGCCTGGCTCCACCCTCCCTGGTCAGTGTCTTTTATAATACTGCTCTCCACGCACTGCCGCATCCTGCCTGTACTGTGCATCTGCTTTCTTTGAGTCCGTCAGCAAGATTTCCACCTGTTCTCCTCTTCATACAACGTATGCTGTGATGTTTGAGGCTGTGATGTTTGATGTTGTGATGAGAAAATCTGACACAGTATTTTCAACTGCGCCGCCAACTGTGCCGCGATGTAATACTCGCACCCGGCACTAATATTTTCCCCGCATGAATAGCCAGTCTCAAAGTTGTACATAATGCTCTGATACAGCACTTGCAATCGTTTTCCCACTGCGATGTTATGGAGTGTACTGTAAACACTGCGGTTCCTATGAGCATCACATACATCAATCCGTGAAATAGCTTCTTCTACCATCTGGGTCGGGTCATCCCGGACCTGCGCATGCATGCATGTGTTTGCACTGGTGGGTGATGGCACATGACGATGCTACGAAATACAGGGGGGCCGCGCAATAGTGCTAGCTTGGGTAGTGCCTCCCTCGATTTAGTGCTTTACGAAACACCATGGCACGGTTATCATAATGCCTCCACGTGTTCATACACGTGTGGCCTCATTAGTACTGTACCACCCAATAGCAGATGTGTGAGGGTGTGTCTTAACAGGCTGGTTTTTGCTTTGCCTTGCCCGGTTTTGCCAGGAATACGTTTAAATTCTTAACAAATACCGTATGCTTCTTATTAAGCCCTTGCTTTTCTTCAACTCAAAAATTTAAACCGTAGGAGCCACTCATTGCACGCCAAATCACCTCTTTGGGCAAAGCAAAGCAAACTGCAGAAAAACGCAGAAAAACGGGGGAAAAACGGGGCATGTTAAGACACACCCTG